ATTTATTCTACTAATCATAGGGATATTGGGACTTTATATTTGATTTTTGGGGTTTGGTCGGCTATAGTGGGGACTGCAATGAGAATGATTATTCGGGTGGAGTTAGGGCAGGTTGGTGGATTATTAGGGGATGATCATTTGTACAATGTTATTGTGACTGCTCATGCTTTTGTTATGATTTTTTTTATGGTTATGCCTATTATGATTGGGGGTTTTGGAAATTGATTGGTTCCTTTGATATTAGGGTCTCCTGATATAGCTTTTCCTCGTATAAATAATTTGAGTTTTTGATTGTTGCCTCCTTCTTTGATGTTTTTGGTTGTTTCTTCTTTGGTGGATGTAGGGGTTGGGGCAGGTTGAACTATTTATCCTCCTTTATCTTCTTTGATTGGCCATGGAGGGGTGTGTATGGATTTTACTATTTTTTCTCTTCATTTGGCTGGTGTTTCTTCTATTATGGGGGCTATTAATTTTATTTCTACTGTTTTGAATATGCGGATGAAGGGTATAACGATGGAGAAGGTGCCTTTGTTTGTTTGGTCTGTTTTGATTACTGCTGTGTTGTTATTGTTGTCTTTACCTGTTTTAGCTGGAGCAATTACTATGTTATTGACTGATCGGAATTTTAATACTTCTTTTTTTGATCCTGCGGGTGGGGGAGATCCTATTTTATTTCAACATTTGTTTTGGTTTTTTGGACATCCAGAAGTTTATATTTTGATTTTGCCTGGTTTTGGGATGATTTCTCATGTAATTAGAAGATCTTCAGGAAAACGGGAACCTTTTGGGGCTTTGGGTATGATTTATGCTATAGGTGGAATTGGTGGAATGGGGTTTGTTGTTTGAGCTCACCATATGTTTTCTGTTGGGATGGATGTAGATACTCGGGCTTATTTTACTTCTGCTACAATGATTATTGCTGTTCCTACTGGGATTAAGGTTTTTAGATGAATGGCTACGTTGTTTGGATCTTATTTTAGGGTGGATGCTCCTTTAATGTGAAGTGTTGGGTTTGTTTTTTTGTTTACTGTGGGTGGTATTACTGGAGTGGTTTTAGCTAATTCTTCTTTGGATATTGTTCTTCATGATACTTATTATGTGGTGGCTCATTTTCATTATGTTTTGAGAATGGGAGCGGTTTTTGCTATTATAGGGGGGATGACTTATTGATTTCCCTTGTTTTTTGGTATAGTGAGAAGACCTAAGCATCTGAATTTTCAGTTTATTGTGATGTTTTTAGGGGTAAATATAACTTTTTTTCCTCAGCATTTTTTGGGGTTAGGGGGTATGCCTCGACGTTATTCAGATTATCCAGATGCTTTTTTATTGTGGAATGTTGTTTCTTCTATGGGTTCAATTTTATCGGTTATTGGTGTGTTGGTGATGGTGGTTTTGGTGTGGGAAAGATTGGTTGGGAAGAGAGAAGTTGTGGGTGGGTATTTTGTAGGGTCTTTTATTGAGTGGAATTATAATATTCCTCCATTAGAGCATACTTTTGATCAGTTAGTGAATTTAAATAAGTAAAAAAAAAAAAAAAAAAACAAAAAAAAAAAAAAAA